GCATGGATATTATCCTATCACTTATAGCATTGTACCTCATGACTGATCTGGATATGTTCTTTTTGACAATGAATGCAACACCATTCCTCTTCAATTTATCATTCCGTGCATAGTAAACCATGTGGTTGTCAGATTCAAAATGGCCAATACCAGTCCATTTCAGCTCACTAATGCCTAAGATATCTTTTTTAAATGTTGCACAGTATTTTCATTTTTGAATACTGTACGGAAGTTTTTTTTTTTTCTAATGTTTATAATCATATACGATGTTTTTTCAAAATACAGAATCAATACAAATAAACTACAGTTATAATATACTACAAAATGTGCCAAAATTACTGTTGTTGTTTTTTAGTGCCATGGAGTTGGTTTTGACCCATAGTGACCCTGTATATGGTTTCCAAGAAGCAGCTGGTGAGCTTGAATCACAGACCTTGAGATTCAAACCTACTTTGCAATCCAGCATATTAACCACAGTGCCACACCAGGACTCAAAATAGAGGGAAATTAAAAAGAGTCAAGTTTATTTGCACATGCAGAATCAAATCAGGGAGGATATAAAACTAATAAAAAATTATTTTCTTTGGGAGTCATACCAGGCACAAGGCATATATACAAGACAGACTATTTTAAAAAATTAATGAGAAACACTCAGTCCTTTGCTTTTCTCTAACTATAATGTAAAATAAAAATAACTGATTATCTCATCAAAACATTAGACAGACAGGAAAATGGAAAGCTTTTGTACAGAAATCCTAATATAAGACCAAAACAGAAATTCTAATTATCAGGAGCTAAAACTCTGTGAGCTCAAGTAGTGATAAACCAAATATAGTTTTATATGTTGAGAGACATAACTCTTGTGGGAGTGGTCCATCTCCAGGAATTCATGAGATTGCTAGATATGGCAGACAGAGAGTTGCAATAAGCATGCTGTTCTAGGACTAGGAAATTTAAATTAAGAATATAGCCATTAAGACCATAGGCAAGCTATCTTGGCTTCAATGTGGAGAGGGAAAATGTGACATGTCATAGAATTGTATATGGGGAACTGGAACTGGAGGAGGGGCTTTTTGGAGGCAGGAATAAAAATCGTTTGTGGTGGGCCATGTGGCACATCTGCCTGTGTCTACTGGGTTGGGCGCCCAATTTTGCAAAATCAAATAACGTAAACCTCACTCTCGCTAAAATGAGTACAGATTGAATTACCTGAGCATTTGTCAGTACAGACATTTCTCACATACATGAATAAAATAGTTGCATTTGGAACTTTTAAAAAGTTATCTTATTTTTTCCTGCTTTTTTCAAAATCCTCAAAAAAAGAAAAAAAAAGTTGCCAATCTCCTAAGAGAGCTAGCAAGAACTTTTCTTCATCCACTTCTTTGTCTTTATGCCTTTCTGTTTCCTCATGTAATCTAAACTGCCTTTTTTGTATCCTTTCAACCTTCCTGCTATTTATGTAGGGCATGCAGAGAATACAGATCATCTTTACACAGACACATCAACATACTGTAAAATCTACTTAAACTTTTTAAGTGTAGGGTTTTGTATAATTTTTAAGAAAAGTTATTATTAAAGAAGATTAAACATAATAAAATACATATTTTATAAGGTTTGTAGAATGGCATAATCTGACACATGAAGTATTCTGATTAACACATTATTTTCACTTAAATGAAAATAACATATACTATAATGAATGTGACATGAATATACATTTTCACCTAAGTTATATGAAAATACTAACATGACATTTCTTACCTAAATGTTTGGACAAACACCTATTATTCACCAATTTGTAATATTTTTATAGATTTTGTACACTTTTCAAAATTAAAATCTGAAAAAGTTGTACCTTCATGTGATTTTTCAAAGGATCCAAGAGATTAAAATGAATATTGCACTTTGGACAAGCTCTTGGAAAAGGTGTTCCATTTTTAGATTGATTTGATGAGGTATTTGTACCTAAAATAAATTCAAGATATTTATTATTCAAACTTGTTTTTAGCCTTATATAATCACTAATTAACATATTTTAAAATGTACCACATCTTCTAAAATTTAGGTATAAGTACAATTTCTTTTTTATATGTCAGATTCCACATTTACCTTTTGATAACAAATCCTGGGGAGATACCACTGAAGTAGATTTTACTGAAGAGAATGCAGCTGAGGGATTTGTTCCAGTAACAACTTCATTGATTTTAGGCTTTTTTGCATTAACACTGTTAACTTCAGAAGTAGAAGGACGTTTTGACGCAAAGGAACTTTCTTTCGCACCTACAATGATTTAAAGAGCAGGACAGATATTTTTAAGTACTTTAGTAAAAAGTATTGTTTCAAACTGCTACTAAGGTAATCTTATATTTTAAATTAGGCAAAGATACTTTGGAGCTAAATTAAAGAAAATATAAATGAATTATTACATAAATAACTTTGATGACAAAAATTATTTGTATCCAAACCCAAGGGGCTTTAAGTCACTGTTGTTGTTGCTATTAAAAGTCATTGAGTGCATTTGAACTTCGACCCTGCAATAGCGTTTCTGAGGTTATAAATCTTTATAGGACCAGAAAGCCTCATTTCAGAGCAGCTAGTGAGTTTGAATTGCCGACCTTGTGGTTATTTGTCCAATGCTTATTCTGCAGTACCACCAGCACTTCAAGAAGAACAAATGATTAATAAATGTGGCTGCTAACTTAAAGGTCTGAGGTTCAAGTCCATCCATAGGTGCCTTGAAGCTAGAACTGGTGATTTACTTTTTTTAATGTTTTATTATGAATTATATGATAGTTTACATTCATTCCATTTACATTCATTCCATCATATATCATTTCATTTCCATGGTTCCAATCCCCTCTATGCATCACCAACCGACCAAAGGGTATACCCTAGAAACCTGCCCCCTACACTCCCCCCACTCCACCCGGTCTTCAGCCCACAGTCCCTCTCCCTCTCTGGATCCAAAGTCCCCAGCCGCTTCATCACTCCACTTCATCCCTCCATGTCATCGTCTCTGTCTCCATCTCAGGCGTCCCTGCTTCTCTGGGTAGGGTCTTGCTCTCGGCTCTTCTCCGTTGATGGTCCTAGAGACTTCCACTCCTAAACTGGAGAATTAATCACTCCCTTCCTTGCTACAAAACATCTACCTTTGCATTTCCAACCCTTATCATCAGTCCTGATAACCATTATTCACTACAGTATCACAAGTTACCCATCTGTATTTCATTTCATCAGGTCCGCCTAGACAGAATGGATAGTACTCACTGGAAATTCTGCCTTCCTCCATGCCTCCTAGCTCTAGGTTCCCTCTTGAAAGCTTGTAAGCCAGTCACTTCTTGCATTTGTAGTTCCCCTCCCACCCCATTTGGGTATCCAATGTCCAAGCTGTCCATCTCTGTCTACTCTGTGTGTGGCGGGGGAGGAGATGTTTCTTGCTATAAGGATTTGTTCCTTCTTTTGAGTCACTGCATCCATAGGTGTAGGTCAAGTTCATCAGATTGTATCAGATCACTCTTTTTTTCCTCTTCTTTCTTCTCCTGGTTGAGCTCAGATCATCCAGTCGTCTGGTCCAGGTCATGTGGGTACTGGTGATTTACTTTTAAGAAATCAGACACGAAGAACACTATGGAGCATGGTTCTATTCTGACACACCTGAGGTCACCACAAATCAAAGTCAACTCAAGGAAAACTATTTGTGTGGGTTTTTTTCCTCCTAGGTGTATAAAAAAACAACTGCACCAATATTTATTATAGAAACATACAAGGAGGCTTTTAAAATCTCAAGGAAAATTTGATTTTTTTGTTTAATGGAAATTTTTAAACTTTTTGTGGCCCACCTCATATCTTTAGAAACTTAAATGCATTTGAGTTGGTTAAAAAAATCAAGCCCATACTTTTTTTGTTCCTACACCCTTAAGAAGTTTTTTTGTTTTTTTTAAACACGGAACTTTTTATTAACAAGTTTAAATGTTTAATGAAAAGTTAATTCTTCCCTACTTAATACACCAAGAGGTGTTCTACTCATGGTTTTAAGTTGTTGATGTTGTTGTTTGAATGATCATATCATAGGCATTCATACAAAAGGATTCTCAATGGAAAGAACTAGTATAATTGTTTTCATACTGTTCCCCAAAAGCTAATGGGTGGTCTTAGTGAATATAATGTGATTGGCCAACAAAGAAATTCAACCTTTACATTTTATTAGATTTTTACACAAAATTTGTTTGTACAGGGATTTGACTGCTAAAAACAGTATTCATTTAAAAAACCATTATCTAAACATTTAAAAGATTATATAATTTAAACGTTAATGAGAAGAAAATAAGATATTTAAGCTATTACCTGGTTAGCAGAAGCCCTTTCGGAAAATAGTACATAACTGTACTATTCAAAGAATGCTAACATATTTTAATGCTTCCAATTGTCCACTAATAGAAGTGGAAGAGTATATACATTAGGATTATTCAAGGCTTTTAATTCAGGAAGTTCAAGTCAAGTTGTCACTCACTTGCTCTGTGGTCTTGACTAATTCAAGTTCTCTGAGCCTCTTTATAAAATAAAAATTATAATACCTCATTTTACAGAGCTGTTTTAAGAATCAAATAAAAAAATGTATTTAAAGCACCCAACAAAACATTTAGCACACAGAAAGCACTCAATAAATTACAGCTATTAACTTTACTACCAAAATATTTTGTATCTTAATTTACTTGAAAAAATAAAGTAAAATAACAATCCACAGCCATCAAGTTGATTCTGACTCACAGCAACCCCATATAGTGTTTCCAAAGCTATAAATCTTTATGGGACCAGACAGACTCATATTTCTTCCATGAAGCGGCTGGTACATTGAACTGCTAACCTTGTGTTTAGCAGTCCAATGTTGATACCACAGTGCCAGCAGGACTCCTTTAAGCTAGAAGGGGAAACAAATCTATCACAACAGCATCATCACTATTGTTGTTCAGTGCGGTTCTTGTTAAGTGTGTAGAGTTGGTTCCAACTCACAATGACTCTGAATAGGGTTTCTGAGGAGTGGCTAATGGATTTGAACCACTAACCTTGTGGCCAGTAGTCAAGTACTTATCCTACAACACCACACCAGGACTCCGTACAGTGCTTAGGTGACTTGATAAAGGCTATTAAACTCTTAAGAACAGAAATCAAATCTATACAATCCAAATCAAGTATGTAGTTGTTAGGTGCTGTCAAGTCGATTCGAACTCATTTTTGAGGAGCAGCTTGTGAGTTGGAATTGTCAAACAGATCGTTTTGAGGTATTAATCCAGTACTTACCCTACAGCACAACATCAGGCCTCTAAACTCTAAATCAACTATAACCCCTTCTATAGACTACTCAGCTCATCCCACACTGCAGTACAATTCAAAGGGATAGTAGGAGTCACTGACTTTTCCCTGAAGAAGTTTCAAATATTCCTACTTTTTTGATAGATAAAGTTCATATGCTTTACAAAACCAGATTTTAAACAACTATTTTCTCTCCCCATTTTTGTTTTTTACCTAAAACTATGTAAGCTACACCCAGAGACAGGAATATCAAACCAAGTACAAACAAAATGAAAAGAAAAAACATTTTGGGTATTTATAATACTATAAACAATTTGAGGAAGAGTTGGCTGATTCACTATATTTGTTAGTAACCAACCTAAATCTTCAAAATATTTGTGTATACCTCTATTTAATCAAATATTTTAACGGTATTATATAAAATAACCACCCTAATTAGAAGAATTTTCAATTAGATAAAATTCTGTCATAGACACTAATTTATTTTAGGTTAATTAAGAACTTTGTTGTCGTATATAATCAATGAATCATAACTTATCTTCTATAGGAAAACTTCATTATTGCAAGTGTGCACCATGAACAAATCATTATTTCATTAGCACTACCATTTTATAATAACTCTATAAGCAGAATTAACTATCATTATCTAAATCATTTAGTGGAATAGAAAGACACTAGCCTAATTAAAAAACCAACTATGAGCATACTTTTTCACCCTATTAGACACAAGAAACTAACACTTTTTTTAAAAACCGAGTATTTAGGGAATCACAGGACTTCTTTCACTCATAGAAATCATACTAAAACTTTTCAGTCCATGGAAGATTCCAAATGAGAACAAACTTAAATGCTATTTTATAGAAATAAATAAAATATGCTATTATTAAATAAAGGAGCTCTGGTAGCATAGTGGTTATGAATCGGGCTATGAACCGCATGGTCAGCAGTTAGAAACTACCAGCTGTTCCGTGGGAGAAAGATGAGGCTTTCTGCTCCCGTAAAGATTTACAGCCTCGGAAACCCTATTTAGGGTCACTATGGGTCGGAACCAACTCGACGGCACTTAATAACAAAATTATTAAATAATACATTGTACAGAGTAACCTAAAAAAGGCATTCAAGAACTATTAGCACCAGTCCACCTTACAAGAAAATCTTAAAGTGAGAATACACGATTCAAAACAGTCAATTCCACCTGCATATTCCTTAATGTTATTTTTATAACTTTTATTTTAAAAACCTGCTAAAACCAACCTGCTATAGAATGTGTTGGTCCTCCTTGGTAATGTGATAATCCTGTGTCCTGGGTCAGGTCAAATAGTAACTCTGAAGAGTTTTTAGACACAACTCGTGCTGAGTTCATTATAAAACCCTGTCAAAATATTACAAAGAGAGAATATTATATTTACTCAACACGGTTATATTTGTTTCATAAAGTTTTACTGACATAAAGTTAACAATATGCCAATATTATAAGGATGACCTTTGATGACTCAATTATTATTAAATTACAAAATATAAATGGGATTATTATAGTCTATCAATATTATCACCTCCTGAAACTGAAAGTAAGCTATTATTTAAACCAAAAAGACCAAACCCACAGCCACTATGAATGAACTGTAACAGGTCCTACAGACCCCATAGGACAGGATAAAACTGACCAACAGGGTTTCCAAGCCTTTAAATCTTTACGAAAGCAAACTGTCTTTCTTCATGGAGTACCTAGAGGGTGCAAAACACCAACATTCTGGTTAGTAATCAGGCTTATTTCCAGTGTGGTGCTATAGGATACGCACTGAACTACACAGGTTTGCTATGAGTTAGAAGAAAAACAACCAATTAATTGGGTGTGAAGGGGGAAGGAGTGGTGGGAATTACAGTCTTAGTCTTTCAAGATAAAGTAAACATTTGTTTTTGTTGTTGTTAGGTGGCGTCAGGTTTGTACCGACTCATAGCAACCTTCTGCACAACAGAACAAAGCTCTGCGTCCACCTCACAATCACTGCTACTCTTGAGCCCATTGCTACTGCCTCTGTGCCAATCCATTTCTTTGGAGGTCTTCCTTTTTTTTGCTGACCCTCCTTTTATCCAGCTTGACATCCTTCTCCTTTCTGGTATGTCAGAAGTAGGAGAGACAAAGTCTGACCATCCTGACTTCTAAGGAGTATTCTGGCTGCACTTCTTCCAACACAGATATGTTGCTTCTTTTTGCAGTCCACTGTGCTTTCAATATTCACCTCAAATGCATCAATTATGCTACAGTCTTCCTAATTCACTGTCCAACTTTCACATACATATATGAGGCTATTGAAAATACCATGGCTTGGGTTAGGCACACCTTAGGTCTCAAACTGACATCTTTGCTCTTAGTTCTAGTGCAGAGATTTGCCTAAATACGTCAATTGATTTCTTGACCACTATTTGAGTGTTGGTGGTTAATCTGAGCAAAATAAAGTCTTTGACAACTTAATCTTTTCTCCATTTATCATGGCGTTATTTATTGGTCCAGTGGTGAGGATTTTTGTTTTCTTTACATTGAGGTGTAACCAATATCGAAGTTCAGACATATATTTCTATTTGAGGGATATATATGTATACATACATACACATACTGAATTACAAACACAGTATACTTTAATATTATTTATAAAAGAGTCCTGTGAAGAGTATGCTTTCAGAGTAACTTTTTGGTCCATTCTAAATATTATATGATTAAGTAAAGAGTTTCAAGATTAATAATGTATAAATATTCAAAGGGAGAAATATAAGCACTTTTAGAGGAAAATTGGCAAAGGACAAAAACTGAGAAAGTTTAAAAATAAATAATCACTACATACAAAAACCTTTTTTCCAACTCACTAAGCAAAGAACTGGGAGTCCTGGTGTGGCACTATGGTATAATTCACTAGATTTCAAGGTCAGTTTGAACTGAAAAGTCAGCAGTTCAAATTCAGCAACAACAAAAATCAAATATTAAAAATATTGAAAACCCTATAATTAACAACAACAATCAAATATATACAACTAAAAACAGTAATTTTTAACTACTGAATTGTTTTTATGTTCCTTAGAGTCAGTTCCAACTCAAAGGGACCCTGTATAGGGTGGTTTCCAAGGCTTTGAATCTTCAAGGGAGCAGAAAGCCTCATCTCTCTCCCATGAAGTGACTGGCAGAGTCGAACTCTGACCTTGTGGTTCACAGTTCAGTGCTTATCATATGAAGCCACCATGTCCCCAGACTACTGAATTAGCATAGTTTCAAAGATAGTATTTGCTATAAAATTCGTAAAAGTTCATGGTTATGAAAAACAGAAAGAATGAATAATTGTGGTAAGTATGAGGAGACAAAGAAGAAATAACAAACATCAGAGTAGGAATCGGAAGAGGTTCCTAGGAGAGAAAAAGGCAATTAATAGAAAAACTGGTAAAATTCAAACAAGGTCTGCAGTTTCAAGTTAATTACCTGGTTATAATGAGGAAGATTTTAACTTAGAGGAAATTGGGTAAGGAGTGTATAGGAGCACTGCTTACTATCTCTTACCTTATTCTGTCCTTCTAAAATAAGTTTTAAATAAAGCAAGTTTAAATCAAAATGTAATGACTAGGCTGCAGCCAGGGGAGCCATGTAGGGAAAGCTCCAGTGAGAAGGGAGGGGGATCTCATGAAGAAAGTGTTCCTATTAGTAAACCCACAGCTTCCGGATTATTATAAGATACAAGACTTCAGTTACCCGAACTTGCATTTTCGGAAAAATCACGCTAATAGGAAGATATGGCATCTTAAGACTCTCGTAGTGGGATCACTTCGGCGACTACACCACCCTGGCAGAGTTTTGAGGTCGGGGCTAAAACTGGTCCGTTTAGAAAGCTGCGTTTCCAGCAAAACAAAACAGAATAAAAGAGCCACAGGGAACTACACATCCCTCCCTGTCCCAGCTTGAGAACTCAGTTCGGACACCAGGCAGGACAGTTCACCCACAGCACTGAGAGACCGAGCTGGGCGACGACTTTTGACGTCATCCGCCCGCTGGACCAAATCTGAAGCCCTTGGAACTTCCAGCTATTGTTCTGGCAAGTTGTGGCTGCTCCTGCCAGACTGGTCTGGTAGCAATAGGATCAGTATAAAGCAACCTGTAAACCCGCAGCAAAATAGGACTCAACCAGTCCAAGATTTGCACTGTGCACACGCAAATAACCGCAAACAATTGGACCAGGTTTCTGAGGCAGTGCATCTGAGCCTGGGTGGGTCACAGCCCAGGGAGCAGATTAGAATCAACCTTGCAACCCGCAGCTGGGCTGCTGCCTGAGTTCGCTGGGCAGGAAAAATGCAAGGCAATCTATAAAACCCCAATAAAACAGGTCTCAACTATCCCAAGATTGGTGGGGAGCACATGCAGATAACTGACATTCAGAGACAAAAATAGTGGTCGATCTTTCTCCCGTTAACTCCACAATATATATATCTGCCCACCTATATGGCTGTGGCTAGAGGAGAGGCCTGAAAGAGGGGTCACCCCCATCCCTGCTGGAAGCTTCTATTTACACACACACTGATGGTGTAGCACCAAAAAGTTGACCAAAGCCGCATCTTTGCTCCAAAGTGGTGATTTCTGCCTATGCATTTATTTTACTTCTACTTTTGGTCCTTTTAATTACACATCTTTCCTAGAGGTGGGAGCTTTTCTTCCCTACATCACCTAAGATCAGCAGCAATCATGGCCATATAGCCAAGCTATAAGCATACACCATAATACTCCACCACTAAGACAAGACCTAACAACACCTACTACACATTACAGACAATAAGGGAAGCCTATCTCCTGATCATATTAATAATAATAATAACCATGACCAATAAGAAACCATTAACATTATCGAAACACGTCCAAAAAACAGAAGAGAGCAGCTGGAGGCAGACAAAGGTTTTATAGAGGATATGCCTGAGAGGGAATTCAGAAGAATGATATGGAAAATGCTCTGGAGAGACAAAGGCTTTATAGAGGATATACCTGAGAGGGAATTCAGAAGAATGATATGGAAACAAATTCAAATACTCCGAAAAGGGGTGGAGGAAAATAAGGAAGAAGTAAGGAAAGTACTGCAGAAACAATCAAATAGGATTGACAAAGCATTGGAAACAATTCAAAACCTGCAAAAAAAGATGTCCAGGTGATCAATAATATGGTATCAGAAATGGACAATAGGCTGAAAAGGGAAAGAGGCAGACTAGAAGAGGTGGAAGCCAGAACTAGCGAACTGGAAGACAAATATCTAAATACTGCCAACAAAGAAGAACAAGCAGCTAAAAGGATAAAACAATCTGAAGAGAGTATACGATTCATGCTGGATAACATGAAGAAGAATAATGTAAGAATTATTGGCATTCCGGAACAAGAAGAATCAAAGAAGTCCACAGAGGAGATAGCTGAAGAGCTTCTAGAAGAAAATTTCTCCAACATCATGAAAGATGAGAAGATAAACATTCAAGAAGCCCAACATACCCCAGGAAGAACAGACCCCAAAAGAAAGTCTCTAACACATATAATAATCAAGCTCTCCACAATCAAAGACAAGGAAAGAATACTAAAAGAGGCCAGGGAGAAGAGAAATATAACTTACAAAGGCAAGCAAATTAGATTAAGCTCTGACTATTCAGAACAAACCATGCAGGTGAGAAGGCAATGGGGAAACATATACAAAGCCCTGCAAGAAAAAAACTGAGAATCGTCTATCCAGCAAAACTATCAATCAAATACGACGGTGCAATCAAACATTCCAGTATAAACAGAATCTGAGAGATTTTATCAAAACCAACCCAGCATTCAAAACATCCTAAAGGGAGTTCTGTGGATGGAGAACCAACAAGAACAGATAACAAACAGACACTGGCAGGTATGACAACACCACCTGAAAAACAGACAACAGATAGCAGAGCCCAGACCAGAACGAACAAACTCAAAGGAGCGGCGAGATCAACTGAAGGCCAAAAGTATATCAATGTCAAAGAAGGGACAAACGCAGCAACTGCAGCCCAGGTGGTGGGGCTGCCAGATAAATTACAGGTTATAATGGAGTATCCTAAATGCAGAGAAAAGTTAGTAGACTACAAGGTAACCCCAAAGAAAGTTAACACTCCACAACATACCATAAAAACGAATTCCCAAGCAGAACAAGAGAACATAGAATCTAGGAAGAAACCGACAAGCAACAACTCAAAGAACACAAATCCAATACAAGAAGGAAAGCAGAACCAAAGAACGAATAGCACCGCCAAAAAAGAAACATAATGACAGCAATAAATTCATACCTGTTGATAATTACATTGAATGTCAATGGATTGAATGCACCAATGAAGAGACAAAGAGTGGCA